CCCTACAAAGCATTCCAGGGTGAGAGGCATCCCTCTCTGGGCACACATTGACCTACCCAGCAATGATATTCCTAAGTACCCAGAGCGAGATCAGAGCCCAGTTACAGCTCTTTAAGGAGTTAACACATCTTTCTCTGGGTGAAAAAAAAAAAGAAAAGGGGGGGGAGAGAAGAAGATGTATTTACAGTCTAGCTCCTCACGAAAACACCTTGGAAAAACAGACATGGCAAGTGCTCAGCATGAGATAGTGTCTTCATCAGGGTAAGTCCCGAGCAATGGGCACCATGTGGGGCAAATGCAGCTTTTGCCTTTCTGCAGTCGGGGTTTCCTCCACCTGCTAAAATTGTCCTCAGCACTGGGGGCCAGAGGCATTCGGAGCGGGTGAAAGGCTTTGCGTGGCTCCTACGAGCAGTGGGCATGAGGAGGGTGATTTCAACTGAATACTCACCCAAACCAACCGACCTCAGTCTGACCTGTAGCTCGGTAAAGGATAACTCAGCACCTCCCTGGGTAAGTTCTTCTCATGGTGTAAAACCGTCCAAACTTCGCTGAGCGTGCAAATTCAACTTCGCTGAGCGTGCAAATTCTGCACCTTATTTCTGCTTTTAGAAATTGTGATTTGTGTTGGGGGAAAGGTGTTGGCTGAACAGCGTGGGCAGGGGGAGCGGAAGGGAGATGCAGCACCGGCAGAGCAAAGCACCCTTCAAAAGAGCTTTGCTCAGATGTGCCAGCGCCGTGAGCCGAGGAGCTCCCCGGGGGAGAGCTCAGCCCCTGGCTCATCCATTCCTCAGCCTTTGCAGCACTTGACTCCAGCCAGCAGCAGCAGGGAGAACACTTAGTCATTAATAAATCCCATAATACTGAATAAAGCACTTTGGTTTATGGTTTTGCTATAAGAACTCACCCCTGGATACTTCTAATTAACTGAACTATGAAAGAACTAAAGATTTTAATTTTTTCCCACCAATTTTCATTCTCTTTTTTTCAAAAAAGAAGAAAATCACTACTGTTAATAAAAAAACCTCTCCTTATATTTACCTGCCTGGGTAAGAACATTGATCTCTGTGCAGAGAGAAGGCACTTTCCTTATTGCACATCTACCTGGCTAATCCATCTTTCCTGGCTACAGAATATGGCTTTGGCTTTATTTTCAGAGCAAGTCTGTAATTCATTGCTTTCCATGATCATGCCTAACCCCATAACTCCTGGGAAGTATGTGGGGAGTAAGCGGGAAGAGCTCATTTTTGTCCTGCATCAGACTTCTCTAACAGCAGGCAGCTGCCGGCATCACTGCCCTGCCTGCACATGAGAGCTGCCTGTTCTGAGACCCAGAGCAGCTGCGGAGGCTGGCAGGGTGCGGGCAGCTCGCACTCATCTCCAACCACCAATTTCCTAGCATTTTCACATCTTCTGGTTCCAGGTTGCCTGCAGACAAAGTTACCTGCATAACAGAAGCTCCCACTGCCCTCAGTAAAATGGGATCGGATGCTTCGGTGTTACTGCATGCGCTCAGCAGTGGTTTCAGCTGGAAAAATAAGCCCACATGCAAAAATCCCTGCAACGCCGGGGTTGAAACAAGCCCCTGATCCACGCAGCTAAGTCTTTCAGACTCCACATCATTCAGAGTACAGGGGTTTTTATTTTCCTTTATTAAAGCACACGAGTAGCCACCTAGGAAATTGTCATTTACACTGCGGCAATTGTAAAATCATACCAACACGACCATTTCAGAAGAGAATTAAAGAGCTTGCGCTTCAGCCAGCCAGCCGATCGCGAGCCTTTAAATCCATAGGCACAGTACAATAAAGCTTTTGCTTTCAGGTTTTTGTTGCTCTTCTTATAGCAAACTCCACTGAGCATTGAACAGAATGCCTAAACACATTCACTGCAAGGGCCACAGAATTACCCAAAAGCTTAGTAAACACACATTTATTGAGTACTTGATTATGTAAGATCATTGCAGCATAGTCATTATAACAAAATCCATATTAAAAAAAATGCCAAACACTGGTATACTTTCCAGAGGACATAAATCTATTTAAAAACCCAACCAAGAACTACAAAGGGAGGGTGGCTGTTCCTCAGCCAGCCACTAACGAACACTCTCCTGCTCCCGAATGGCACTGCAAGAAAAGCCCGGCAGTCACTTCCCAGCGTCGCACAGCACCATCCCCAGCACCATCAGACCGTACGCCAGCTGATGGGCTGAGAAGACTCAAGGTTGCTCAATGACCAACGCTGCTGTTGTATCCACAAACACAACAGCCCACCAAACTCATTTTTCAAGGGCATGGGTACAGCTTGCCAGCAGCACGGTTCTCGGGGAGTTTTTCTTCACATGCTTGGGGGTTGTATGAGATTTCCTAGTGAGTGCTTGGGGATGAACATCCATTGCAAAGTGCTTAAAGTGCCCAGATTTCCTCCTCCCCCTACATTATTCAGGGGAAGCGCTAATTGCAAAGTTTGCTCTGGTATCCCTCCAGATTCCCAATCAAATGCTAATCAGCATGAAAATCTTCCCAGCTTGAGCAGTTTACAAGGGATCTGGGTCCTATACGTGGGACACTGGAATTGCATCTATATTTTAAGCCCAACCATAAGGGAAACACTTTACATAGAAATATAACATTGGATTTTTTTATATAGCATATATAAAGAACATGACAGCATTAAAATATTGGCAAATCAATACATTAAAAATACAGTATCTCATAGACCAGAGCACAAGAAATATATTCACATGAAATCTGTACAGTCCGGACGACGCTGCCGGTTCTCACGTTGAAGCTGACCTCCCATCTCCAACTGGAGGTCATTGCTTTGCTTCCCCATCAGCACCACTGGCCACCACTGCCCAGATTTCCCTGGGGTTTTGTGCTACAGGGAGAATACAAGGCTGCTGTCCCTGCTAGCACAGAGGGCACTCAGCGGTTAAACTCTTTGATAATGCTTTCATCATCAAATGAAGTGACAGGGCATTTCAATTTACACAAAGCTCTGGCCTACTGGGAGAGGAAAATCAATCTATGGTTGGCAGGAGGGGTGGTACCTCGGCAGCATTTCCCAAGTGCTCTCAGCATCATGGATCTCATTTCATTAAAAAAAAAAAATAAACCACCTTTTGTATGGTTTGTGCACCACTTATCTCGCCTGGAGCAGGTGGACCCGTTTTGGGCTGCCCCTCCTGCCAGAAATGTCCATGTCTTCTGGAGGAGCTGCTGTTCTGACCTCCAAAATGGCTTTCCCCTATACATAAATACATGTATACATAGGCCACTTCATTCCTTCCTCCTCTCACTGAGGAGGATCCCCAAGGCATGCTTGGCAAGATGAAATCCTACATTATAGCTGTACCTATAGCACTATAGGGATGTGTATATACAGACACATTCTGTCCATTATTACAATGGAAATACAGGGTTAAAAAAAAGCAATAGCAGCATGTAAACAAGGATTTGTGTTCATTTCATCCGCCTTTTCTTCCTCTTCTGAGCTACATTCACCAGTTTTGACAGTCCCTTCTCACCACCTTGCTCCCCTCTGGAGGGTTTCGCTGCAGACTCCATCCGCGTTGTCCCCCCCAGGCTCGTGGCCCCGGCTGCCTGGCTCGGGGCAGTTTGAATTTCCCTTTCCACCAGCTCCCGCATCCTTCCCTTTGCAATGACTCATCCTGGAGATGATCTTGGGTTTTTGTCTGACAGCTGCTGCCCACTTTGGCTTCAGCAATGTCTAATTTCAGAGTGATACCGCAGGAATAAAACCTGCACCCAAGCGCCCAGTGAGCCACATGAGCTGTTAGCGTCTTAAACAACTCAGGGAGGAAAAAAGAAATTGAATAGTTTGCATTTTGTCTGTCTCCCAGCAGCAAAAGCGTAAGTCCAAGGAGCCATACCTGTTTTAAACCCTTAATTCCTGAATTCTCAATAATGTTGCAAACCACCAGGGTTTCGCAGGAATTAAAGAGCTAATTTTAAACGTGTTCCTTAGTGCAGGGTGCACTGGAATTAAAAAGGCATCAAGTGGGCTCACTTTTTCTGCATGCTCTTGCAGTATCCTGTTTTCCCAACCCCCAAAATTGTTTCCTCGGTTTCTTGCCTCTCAGTTTTGAGGTCCTGCTAAAGAGCCGTTATCTGAGTTAGCTCTGACGTGGGGGTGGTTGGGCTCTGCTGGGCGACAGCCACCATGGGAATTTCCATGCCTAGTCAGGCCGGATTGTTAGTCCCCTCCGAGTTCTTGCAGGCATAGGCCACATCCTTGGCGATGCTGCACATCCTGTTGGACATCTGGAGCTCGGTCCTGAAGGCGGTGGGGAAGCAGAACTTCTTGAAGCACGCCTTGAAGTTCTCGTCTAAGAAGGCGTAGAGCACGGGGTTCAGGCTGCTGTTGGCATACCCCAGCGCGGTGCAGAAGCAGGAGATGGCCAGCTCGAGCTCGCTTTCTGCCTTGGCACCCAAGCACTGGACCAGCACAAAAATCTGGATGGGAGTCCAGCAAATGATGAAGACCGCGACTACCACCAGGACCATTCGGGTGATGCGCCTCAGGTTTCGGTCCTTCTCCTTAGAGCCTGAGAGCACACGGACATTCTTGAGTCTTCTGATCATAAGACTGTAGCAAATGGTGATGATCAACACAGGGATCATAAAGGAGAAGAGAAAGACACAGATGCCAAACACTGGATCCCAGTAATCCACGGGTGAAGGGAGTTTAATTAGACAATCAATTTCTGCAAGTCAAAAAAATAAAAAGGAAGGCAAAAATCAGCAAACTCATATCAAGAAAAGCATTTGCACATTCAGTTTAGTTTAGGCATGTTTAATACTGGAAAAGCAGTAGCAGTGATGCAGAGAGGCAAGGGCAGAAAGGAAAGAGTTAAGATGGCTTTACAGCAGAGAGCTCACCACACTGATGAAACTGGTACCCCTCTCCAAGGGCTCCCCAAGCCCACAGGCTCTCCTGGCCACCCACACCTCCCACCCTTTGGATGCATTTTTACTGACCGTTGTTTTCGTTCTCTGCAGATCCCATCACCATTGCTGGGATGCCAAAGACAGAAGCCAGCGCCCAGATGCAGACATTCACCACCTTGGCCTTGTGGGGAGTGCGGATGTCTAGCGCTTTGATAGGGTGGCAGATGGCAATGTAGCGGTCCACGCTCATCATTGTCAGGGTGAAGGTGCTTGTGAACATATTGTAGTAGTCTATAGAGATGGCAATCTTGCAGAGGACATTGCCGAAGGGCCAGAAGCCCAGGAATGTGTCTGTACCCTGGAAGGGTAAGGTCATCAGACACAAGGTATCAGCCAGAGCGAGGTTAAAGATGTAAATGTTGGTTGCTGTCTTCATCTTGGTGAATCTGAAATGTAGGAATGAGCAATGGTTAGAGCTTCACCTGGCCATGATGGGCAAGACATTGAAGTCTACTGAAGAGGGCATTCTGCCACTTTAGGAAGGAGATGCTGTATTTTTCTTATGTAACGAGACTGAACACTTTCTACCTCCCACACATTTATCAACACACAGCTCAACCCAGCTCCTACAACAATACAAATGGTGCCTTCACCTTCAGTTTCATGAGTAGGAGAAGCTTATTCCCTTAGACTGCAAGTGAGGACCATGAAAGCTTGAGGCTGTCAACTCAGATCGTGCTTTTTGAAAAATGACTTCAGTAAGGCTAATCTAGGATTTCATCACATATGGCTTCATTATTATAAATATTGGTGAGAGCTTTACCCAGTAAGCTGATTTGAAAGGCATCATATGGTCCAGGGGTAAGTTGATTAGCCATTTTGTATGGGCTCATAACCAAAGACTGTGGCTAATGTGAGCTATCAGATCAGAATGGGCAAGATGACCAGCCCTGGCCAGTGGCAGCTAAAAACTGGTGAGGAATGAGGTTTGTATCAGAAATCAAAATATCACAATGGATCTTTCTAAAGAAATGGGTAGTTTGCAGATAAAGTCATGAGCCAACTCTACTTCAAAGGGTTTTTGTCATTTCTGTATTACTTTTACCGCGTGAACTGACTGCCCCAAAAGAAGATTCACCTTGCTCTAACGCTAATCACCTTTTTACACATGGGAAATGATGCAAAGAAAGATATGATCACCTACCAAGGATACATGCAGAGTCTGCAGAAATGGAAGCTCAACGGTCACTCTGACAGCATCTAACATTTCAGCTCCAGGATGTTCCTCTCACGGGCAAAATAAGAGCTCAAATAGGTATAATTTTAAAACTACACCTCATCTGTCATTTACTCTACTAATGGCCTTTGGAGAAATGTTGCCAGAAATGGCAACAATGTGTGTTATTAACAGAGGGCAAGTTCATTTGAGGGTAACACTTAAACCTATAAACTACTGCACTATTTGCAGTTTGATGTGTGTTGGAATATTATGGGGTCTGATTTGACCTAAAAAGCTTTTTGTCAAATTGATTCAGAACAGCAAACCCACAACTGCACTCCTCAGCACTGCACCCCCGTGACGATGTGAGCTTCAGCTCTTCGAATCACAGAATCATTAAGGTTGGAAAAGACCCTTAAGATCATCGAGTCCAACCGTTAACTTATCGCTGCCAAGCCCACCACTAAACCATGTCCCCAAGCACCACATCTCCCCGGCTTTTAAATACCTCCAGGGATGGAGACTCAACCGCTTCCCTGGGCAGCCTGGGCCAGGGCCTGACAGCCTTTTCGGTGAAGTTTGAAAGGTTGGAGGAACCTTATCACTGCCATCCTCTGAATTCTGTTGATGCACATGGTGACTTAGCCAGGGGATCCACAACCCAGAATATAAAGTCTATTTTTTTTACCCTCTTAGAGCTCCAAGGTGTGCTTGTATTAGAAGTCAGGTGTTTGAAAGTGGCTTCAGAAAGCAAGAACAAACGATCCTACATTTGACCTTGAAAGCCAAAGGAAGCTTTTGGAGCAGGTGAACATTGATGGAAGCACTTGAGGTCCCCACGTAAGCCTGAGCCAGCCTCCTCCTGGCCCAGAAATCACAGCAGCTGAGCAAGACAGGGGGTTCTTAGAAAGCCAGCCCAGATCAGATAAACTTATATAAGCAAAACCAGTAGAGGAAAAATACCAGTGTCTTTCCTATTGTGAAGGGCTGAACAAGCAAAACACTTTGCAAATCCAACACAGCCAGGCACCTCCCAGGGCTTTAAAACTTTGGGACTTCCTAAGCAGAATCACACAGAAACAGACTCCAGCGCTGTGAACCCCAGAGCAGCAGCATCTCAGGGTGGGAGAGTTTTGCTTTTTTGTTTGAATTCTTGCAGTTGGCATAAATGAGGCAATGCACGCAGGGAGCATGAGACGGGTCTGTGAATGGATTCAGCCACTTTCCCCTCTAGGTCAGCAGGGGGGGTAATTAAAATTAAGAAATTAAATCACTGTTCTTCATCAGCCCACACAAAAATGAAGTATTGTCAGCTTAGGCTTCAGGAAATTATTCAGTCACCTAAGACCGTGTTAGCAAAGGTCTCCTGGGAGCTGGAGTCTTCCTCCACATACCAAGACCTGGCTGGGCTTGCCCAAGCTTCCCAAAGGTCAAGCTTGTTCCAGTCCATCCTTCCAGGAGGGCTGGACTTGGAGGCAACTCATCGACATGCCTCTAACCCTGACTGATTTTATTGATGTTATAACTCGAGGGAACAGCAACTGCATTTTTGAACCATGATGGGCAGCTTCACCACTGTGAAACAGAAAAAAATTTAAAAAGTTGTGTTGGTGTTTTTTTTGTTGTTGTTTTTTGGTTGGTTGGTTGGTTGGGGTTTTCTTACCAGTGGGAGAAAAGCAGCAATCCACCCACCTCTGCCACCCATCCAGCATCCATGGGGGACAACGTTGCCTCTATGCACACTCCTGTGTCCCCAGCACAGTGAGAAGTTTGGGGCATCTCAGCTGACCCTGAGCCTGGGGTGTGCAGATTGCAAACCTTCAGCTCCCTCTTGCTCCCCTCTACCCCAGGGGACCTCGCTGGTCCCTCTCCTCCAGGAGACTTCTCAGCAAGAATCGAGAGTCCAGGTGCAATTGCTCAGCCTGGCCCTGCAAAATCTGCTCTCCCCTGATGCACGGATCCCTCCCTGCTGCCCCTTCCCTCACTCCCTGCGAGGTGACGACAGAGCTGCCTTGGTCACTCCCTCCGATGCAGGGACATGCTGGGGTGCCTGGCCCACCGCTTACCTCCACCAACCCACCTTCAAGGGGATTTTAAGGCTGATTATGTGCTCTTGAAAGGTGGGGAAATTAATTTACACCTAATTAATTACTTCCAGCTCCACTTTCTCTGCACACTGAGAGCAGCCATTATCCCAACCAAACAATGTTCCCAAACATTTCCAGAATGTTCAGTACAAACAAAAATCAATTAATCACTTATTTGTGGATTAACCTCTTTTTCTTTTCCTCCAGGAACTGAGAGTGTTCTCTTTCTTAATCTGCACAAAAGAGACCATTTAAACTCTCGGGCTTTAGGAGGCACCTAAGGTCCCCCCCACAGCACAGCTCCGATGCTGATAAGCCTGTGGCCTCCATGGAGAACATTGGCTCCCCGCTGAGCCACTTTCTTGCACTCGGTCACGGAGGCAATTTCCTAATGGAGCATCTCCCACAGGGTGGTTCTCAGCTCTCCATCCAGCTCCACCTTTGTCACAAAAGTAATTGATTTGCTCTGCTCCCCCAGTTGCTGAAGCCTAAGAGGAAAAATGTCTGGATTATCAGCTCAGCACTCAGCTTCTCCCTCCTTTTTGCTAAGTGGACCTCAAGAAGCATTACCTGGAACAAAGCTGAGCTTCAGCGAGGGGAACCCACAGTTTGGGAGAGGAGGAGATGGGTAGGAAACAGCTCTCCCACATACCTGGCTTTGAGGTCCTGTCTTTCACAAGGACGGATTCTGTCCCTGGTTGAGCCTCAGGGTGAGCTGCAAACCTGTTGATTTAGCATCACTCCCTCCTTTCCACCCAGCCACCATGAGGCTGCAGGGCAGCAAGTTGCTCCAGATGCCCCAGGGCTGAGGACCAGCCGGCTGCAGCAAACCTACAGCCCAAAATGGAGCTGCAGACACCAGGGGCAGAGGGAGCAGAGCAAAGCCTTCAGCCCCGGGGAACCGTGAGCGTTATCTACAGGAGTTCTCTGCCTCTTGGAGCCTCTTGATTTTTATATTCATAGCTCCAGCTAATTGGGATGCAGACAGTGCTGTTCACCTTGAGCAGCTCCCTCCATTCCCACCCCACGCCCTGGCATCAGTGACAGCCTTTGCTGCCCTCCCCAGACACATACAGGGAAGCAAAATAGAGCCAAAAAGGCTCAGGAAGGATTTTTGCTGAGCTGCTCCCACCCTCTGACGGTGGAAATCGGCACCAGTTCACTGACATCGCTGCTCCCAACCTGCTCTTAGCTCACAGGTTGTATGAAGCTGATATTTGATCTGGCACGTACCATCGTGATTTGTGTCCTCCCAGCCATACACCCACACCATGCTCTCCACGTCCCTGCTGCTCCAATCACCTTTTCAGAGCCCCCTCATCCTGAAATTACCCAGTTCAAGCCAGTTTATTCTTAATGGCTCAACAGGCCACAAAAAAAAAAGCAACCAGACAATTTAAGAAAGAAATTTAAATCACTTTGGACCATGAAGCCAGATGCTACAGCAAAAGCAGCCAGCAACGCCAGCACGTAAAAGCCTATTAATTCCCTGGCAGGACGGTGACTGACTAGCAGGGGCTAAGGAATCTGCCGCCAGCCAGGGCAAGCAGCAATGCTCTGGGACAGATGATTCTCTTGCCCTTTGAGTCTCACTGACGTGTCTGGGTAACACTGGTGCCCTCCCTCCTCAAGGTGCTCTCTGGGGACCAGCGCAGATGAGGACATTGCATGGCCGCGACAGCTGCCATGCCGAGGGCAGAGGCTGGGTGGCTGCTGCTGCAAAAGCCTCTGCAACTTGCCCAGGGGCTCGCAGGGATGCTTATGCAACCCCGAGCGGGCACATGGCCACCAAGAACAGTGCTTTGGTCTAAGGAGGGTGCTCATCAGCATCCGTCCTGCAGCAAGATGCTCTCAGCCCTGTTCATGTGCAGGATCTGCCTCTGCTGAACTGCTCGTGTCCTAAATGCTGCTGGGAATTGCCCAGTCCCTGAAAAGCACTGGGAAGCAAGTCCCACATTAACCATCACAGTTACTGCTGCACATGGGTAATTCCACTCATCCCACTGAAACCAGAAACCAAGAGCCGTCCAGCACACGTTGCCGTTGCAGGAACTGTGTTAGCAGGGGCCACACATGGCTGCTATGAGCCACGTGGCTGAGCCCAGCTCACCTGGGCTCATGGGGGCCTGGAAATTGGGGACCTGCAGACCTGCCCTTTGCAGCAGGTCCCCCTCCTGCTCACCTTGCCATCCTCCCCCAGCTCCAATCACTCTGCACAGCACAGAGCCCTTGGCATGGGTTTCCCTTCCCTACAAATTGCAACAATTGTCTTTTTTTTTTTTGGCCGGAAAAAACTAAAAGACAGTTAGACAGGGATCTGGAGAGAGCTGAGGTCTCAGATGGCCCCACCAGTACCCACTGGGTCCACACCGCATTAAACACTCACTCGATTTCAGCTCCGACACACACAGCTTGTTGAGGCTCTTCCCTTAGAAAGCTTTCTATTAAGAACTCAGCATCTCTGCAATGTCATAATTAACTTCATTTTCCCTGTCTCATCACAGCCAGCTGCCCTCACCCTATTCTCAGGGATCAATGCAGTTTTCCAGCAGAATAACAGCTGGCACAGCCATCCCCAGGCAGCCGCCCAGTGCAGGCACCTCCCCATCACAGCCCTCCTCCTAAAGCTTCACCTGGAAGCAGAAAATAAAAGCAGAGGGGCCTAACAGCCCTAATCTGCCTAAACAGCTGCTTAAAATGCTCTGAAATAGTGTTCTGCTATAGGGAGAGCTGAGCACCCCCAGTATTTTGCCAGGCTCCCAACAGAGAGCTGCCATGGCAAAGAGAAGTGCCCTAGGAACCAGGCATCATTCCCACGGGGGCTGGATCCGGGCAAGCAGAGCCGACACTGAGGAAGGGAGTCCTCCAGATCATTGCTGCTGAGCATCACAGCATCGTGATGGAGCAGGGGACAACAGAGGACTTCCCGGGCCAGAAGCTGCATGTTGTCCCTGGTCCCTTCCCTGGCACGGTGGAGCCTTGGGGGTCTGTCACACCCCATGCAGCAACAGCTTGGTTGCTCTCATGTATGGGTCAGCATCACCTCCACCCCCATGGGTCATCCAACCCCATGGCCATTGCAAGACCCATACATTCCCCTTTTTTCTTCCTAAAAACAAAGCGCTCAGGCATCCAGCCTTGCAGCATTCAGCAATAGATAAGAGGGACCTCAGCAGCCTGCTCTCCCCCGCTCTCCCCACAAACCCTCCCTGCCTCGTGCTGTTCGACTCCTTGTTTCACATTCATTAAAAAGCAGTACAGGCAATATATGCAGAAGAGAGCAAACAGCAGAAGGAGAAGGAGGGAGGGGAGGCATTATCTGCACTGGCAAGGAACTCCACAATGAGCAAGCAGAACAAAGCCGCAGACAAGGCAGGTTTCCACAACAGGCCCTTTACTGTCCAGGAAAGCGCGCTCCCGACAAGAGCCCTTCTCGGTCTTATCCAATTCGTGCTGCTCAGCACTAGAAGGGGATTGACAGTCACATGATGACTGTCTCTAAATTAATCATTCCAAATGTTAAATCACTCCAAATATAATAGAGATGTAGGCTGGGTTCTACAACAGAGGGGAAAACCCAGAGGAGGCTTTGAATTTGTATTTTTGTGCGAAATACCGGGAGATTTTAAACTTTTCCCTCGGCGCTACAAAAAAACTCATTCAAGAGGAATAAAAAACAAGCCTTCCTGAAGCCTCCAATTTCCTCGAGTGCCAATATTAGAGTCTCTGTATTTCCCAACTCCCTCCTAAACAGGAAACAATTACTGTCTACGTCACTGCACCGTTCTTTTTCTGGAAGATAATACACAGTTCCTCATCGGTTGTGTAGCATGCTGAAGTCTGGTTATCCCTGGTGAAATATAAGCATAGAAAAAAAAACAGCTTTTGTAGGCTGCAGCATACCTGTAGATGACAGGGGTGCAGCACAGAGGGTTTGCCAGTCTTTTTTCCATTAATGGAAGAGATATATCATTAAGAGTCCCAAACCCCCATGTTGACTTACCAGCAACCAACATTCAGCCTACTGAAAAAAGATGCTATTTCAGGCCTGAAGCCCAGAAGCACCAATGCTCCCATCTGGGGAAAAAAAATCCTGTGCTTGAGAAGTCATCAGCATCCTCCTTGCACGGCCACTAATTTAGCAGCTCCGCCTGAATCTGCATTGATGGCCAGGGTCAAGAGTTTGAGATACTGAGTCCACTTTATCACCAAACCTGCTCCTGACCTTAACAGACAGGGCAAGGAGAGAAAAATCCTGGGCAGGAATAACCAGATGTTGCCGTTTCTTACTGAACCAAGAAGGGTCATGTCCCTGGGTATAACTCGGCGTTAGTCTCAGCTGGTACTGAGCTCCTGGGGACACTGATGGAGACAAACAGCAGCTTCTACATGTGTCCTAGCTCAGTTACAACTTCCCCAGCACACATTATTCAAGGGGCCCCTCCAGGCTCACATAGAAGTTTTTTGGGAAAAACAGAGGTGAATCTCCAAAAAGGAGTACCCAAATAATTACAACTTCTATTAGCTCTTTTGTATATACAGGGATTTACTGGATAAAGGGGGAACAGAAGTGGAAAAGGCCTCGGGGAGATGGGGGTGACACATCTCTTCAGTTTTCCATTGTTTAGAACCAATAAAACCAGAGGACACAAAAAAAAGCCAATTTCCAGGGGAAATGCCAGTGCTAAATCCCACTTTCTTTTTTTGGGTCCCATTTATCCAGCTGGAAGGTATCAAAGCCAAAAAGGAGCAGAACAGAAGCCACCATTTTGAAAGCGTGGCCCCGCATAGCCACAGCACACGTCCACCCTGACCAGGGTGCCAGTTTGGGACGTTCATATTCTTGGTGGTACACCGCTCACAGCCGCGGGCAGGGGCCGGCAGGGTCCTGCTGTCCACATCCCACAAGACCTTTGCAGACAGGGAGAAGATTTCTGCCAAGGCTTCTCCTTCTTACACACATCTAAGGCTCCCTGCCATTCCCACGGAGTTGCATCGCCGTGGGACAAGGACTTCTCACTCCCAGAGCCTCACTACTCACCACGCTTACACGCACCCACCGACACCGTGCCTACTCAAATGATTGCTACTATGCTGAGCAGAAAGGCGAGCTCTCCAAATGCAAGCTCTCCCTGCACTGCAAACCTCCTCTCTCCATCTCCAGGCTCCCCAGGGCTAACGTGAGCCCTTCTCCCTGCCAGAAGCTCCTCGGCAGGAAGAGCACGGACAGGCAGCCTGATGAACAGTCACAACGCTTTGCCCTTGTAGCAGAGATTTAGCCACCGTTCACCGGCCTGTGATACCAAAAACTTCATTTTGCGGCATCTCCCCCAGCTGGGTTGTGTGTATTCAAGGGAAAGATGCTTTGGAAGCTGCAAGGCTCCTGGCAGGAGCGAGACTAAATCTCATCAGTGTCTGAATACCTGCTAAATATTTTTGTCCTCTGCTGGAGGAGAAAACAAATTGATCCTGTCTTTTCTGTGCTGGTAGCATCCACCTGCACCAGGATTCTGCTCCGAGACGTGCATAAAATGGAAGCTCGTTCCTAAAATACAGGGTACAGAGATCAGAAGGGGGTTGCTGGCGTTTGACACGGAATCACAGCCCTAACGGTTGCATAAACTTATTTTGCACTTACAGGGGGGAACAGGGTTTCTGAGTCCAAAAGAGGGTGGATTGAACCACAGCAGAACCAGACAGGGACACTTAAAATGCCCCAAAGGTGCAGATAAGCTGGACAGTGCTGATGGAGTGGTGTGGGCTCCGTGCCCTGTCCCTCTGCAAAGGTCCCCCTGCTCTCCCCACTTCAGCCTGAGGAGCCAGAGAAGCTGCCCTCATCTCTGCAGCATCCTCTCACATCTTATCGATGCCTATAGTTTCCAAAGAGCTGGAAGAGCTGCATTCATGATTTTTCCCCTGTAAAAGTAAGACTGAGCCTCCCAGCAGGCTCCAGATTCAGCTTTGGAAAGCGCCAGCTCCCAGATGGAGCAGCACCTGCAGCCACAGCTGGGGTGCCGGACACAGCACAGGAGGGACAGGTCCTGTGAGATCCAGCACAGCCTGGCAGCAGGATGCTCCCAGCGCTTCGCCCTCCCCAGGGACACCCAGCTCCCTGCCTGGCAGCCTGCAAAAAAAGCCCCATTTTTTGAGCAGATCTGATCGCTCTGTTCCATTCTCTGGGTTAAACTTTAGGAGGCACCAGAGGGCAGCTGAAAGCTGGTGGGAACCTACATCACAGCCTAGGAAGGGAGAAAAACAAATAAACCCCAAACGATAAAACGAAATGCCACATCGGTACCTCTACCGCACATCGTGATTAGCAGGGAAGCACCCGCCTGCCTCACCCGCAGCAGGGAGCTGGGGAAAGGTCTGCCCCGCTCCCAGCCCTCCCCGCAGCCCTGCCTGCGTGTCCTACCTGACGATCACATACATGACGGAGCAGTTGCCCACCAGCCCCACAATGCACACAATGGAGTAGACGACCACGATGGTGATCTTGATGCTCAGCGGCAGGAAGCTGTCCCCCGTGCCGTTGTTGAACCAGTTACTGGGGAGAAAGCTGAGGTTCAGCATGGAGGAGTCGTTCAGCAGCTTTCTCAGGTCAGGGTCTTCCAAAATATGGGCAGG